TGAAAGTATAGTTGTTGCAAAGTGGGCCAATTCATAGCGATTTATGAGATCGCTGGCTGCTTCCCTTTATGGTTTTACAACGTATTTATCGTTTTATGACATTACCCGGGGGCAGTTTACGATAATTTCTCACCAGCTCAAATTGTATGGCGTTACATTTTTTTGTTAGTATAATGGGATAGTGACTGTTTCGATGGGAATTATACAATTTTCCTTGTTTCTGTTACTATCGAGTAATGTATGATTCATTGGATATTTTTATTGCATACTTCGGAACATTACAAAGTGGAAGATAAAGTCAGTATTGTCCAAGTATTAATTCTCATAATTGTTATATAAGAAATATATAAGAAATATATGAGAATATATTGAAAAGTTATACGTCAATTTTAAATTTATAGGGATGTTTTGACCTACGATATGAGGTTTGATTCACTTTAGGAAAATGTAATACGATGTTCAGAAAATCAGAAATATCATTGCTTATTTTCAAGCAAAATAATTGGTAAGGCATTAAGCAAGGACGGCAAGCAAGTAAGCGACTATGCCGAGACAAACTAATCTTACTAATGTTATAAATGCCCAAGTTTAGATGGATGTTTGTTAGAGTTTATAGTCTAAACAAGCTGAACGAAACTGGATGAAATTTGGAGAAGAAGAACACATGTTTCCCTTTTTTTAACTCCCATAGCGACAATTGCGGGTTAAAGCTAGTTAACACTAAGGAGAGTTTTTGCGACTTGTAGTTGTACAATTCTGTATAGCGTCTGTCTACCGTAGCGGTTGTATAAAATTATAATGTAAACAAAATTCAATCTCAATCGGAGAACGTGTTTATATTTTCTTATACTAATAAAGATTATCCGCTCGAGTTAATATTATACCGAAATCATTACGATATTGGCAAAGTTAAGCTTGACTCAAGCACCTATTTTATCATGTACCAAAATTAAGTACAGCCTTCAGAAATACAAGTTACCTCCGAGGACACTCTAACCAATGATGGTTTTGTAAAGATAGATTGATTATAGGGGTATAGCAAGACGGCAATGTATTGTATTCAAGACAAATTATGTGATAACAGGATGAGATATTTGGGTATTGGGTAGTTTGAGTTGTAATAATGTTTCCGCTCTTTACCCCGCTGTTTATCGAGCCAATGCAAACAAGCGATTTTACTATCTGGGGAGAATGTTTGTATTATTTACGATATCACGATACAATTTTGAATACAATCTTAATGTGGACAATATTTCTGCTAACACAGTTTTATAATAATAATACTACAAAGTACAACTTTCAAAGGAATCGTGAAATTAGGGGATTGGTTTGTACACTTTTGCTTAGAGCGCGTGCACACCTGAAACTAAACTATAGCACAACTGTTCAGTCTCACTTTGATTCCTTATATGGAGGTGCGCACATTACTTGACTTTCAATTGTGCAACTAAACAATTGAATTTGCTGCGAAACAATCGACAATCGCATAACAGTTCTGCGATTATTTAGTCAAAGTGGTGCGTCCGCTCTTAATCTCAATGAAATGTTACTGCACCATTAAGACTTATTAAGTGGTTAGTTAGTTGATATTTAGTTTAACAAATATGTAAAATAAATAAAAAAAACACGCACTAAGCAATTTGTTAAGTAACTACTTAACAGTTGAGTAAATAAATAGGTTACTTAAATCTGTTTTAGTTCTTTAGATTTTGCGTTATAAATATCTTCATTTAAAATAATCAGAGTAAAAATGCTAGATAACATTTCTGCAATACGAATAAAATAACGTAAAACCAGAACGTTAATTTAGTAGATGGAAAATTCTCGAGAATGCTTAAAAATGTAGGCCGCATTTTTAATGACGATTGCGACCTCTTTAAACAAGTCTGCGCTTTAAAAAATCATTTTAATTAAACGCTAACAAGAAACAGAAAAAACTGCAGTATTGAAATGCGACATGATTTTTATCTGAAATACAGCTCGATGAATATTTATTTTTTCCGTTACGTACTACGAAATAACTAAAAATGAGAAAGATGCATTTTGATAATGGAACAAAGGTATATATCTGATTTTTATTTATTCACATGTAAACAATCTATACTAACATTATAAAGAGGAAAGATTTGTATTTTTGTATGTATTGAAATAACTGAAAAAATTTCTGGGCTGATCTCAAAAATTCTTGTACCATTAAGTAGCTATGTTGTCATTGAGTAACATAGGTTATTTTTTACTATTATTTCCATTCCACGTGGACGAAGTCGCGGGCAACAGCTAGTTATTAATATAGTATACATTCATGTTATTAAAACTTTTAATATACATGTGGGGTTGTGGCTCGATAAAATAAAAATAAACTCGTTGTTTATCACTATTTTTAATATTTACCTTTTCCAAAAAACACATCTTCATACGTTGTCGTTCCTCTTTTTTCTCTCTCAACTTAAAACTAATTTTAAACCAACGTCAAAATATAAATTTCGAAATCAATTAAAAAGAAAACACAATTAAAAGAAACATATTTAACCTCCTTATAACCTCTACATACAATATCATTTTTGCAGCTTATTATAAAAATTATGGTAAATTGGAACGCAGCATTGTAGGAATTATTTGCTTTCAGATGCTGTACTCGGCGCCAGACTAAAGTTAAAGTCTGAGTCTGCTATACTGCGTTTAGGAAGTTGTACACTAAAAGCTATATAACTATGTAAAAAAATATATTATACTCTCAAGTCACTCAATCTTGTATATTAGTTGACTGCAAGAAATTGATTCACCATACACAAATTGGTTGATGTATTTGACAAAGTAATAGTGTGTTTTAATTTTAGCGTTTTTTTTATTTTGTTTTATTAGATGAATTATATCATAGCTTGTCATATCTTGTAGTGGTGGTGAACCTTAAACCCCCAGGCGCAGGACACGGGTGGTTTGATATGTTTGTTGAACACGACGATGTTTGTTTGTTTCCTCACTTAAACAAACTCCCTTAGATGTGTTTAACTTGTATCACGAAATTGTTATTACCTTTTATTTTTTGTAACTACGTACTGTTTAACTTAACAATATTGCAGTAGAACCTCGATAGCTCAAACGTCAGTAACTTAAAAACCTCTATAACTTCAAAAAATAATATGTTCCTTTTACATCAAAGTCCAAAATCTCTACAACATAGACCCTTGATAATTTAAAGCCTCTATAACTTAAAGTATTTTGTGTTTCCCTTGAACTTTAACTTATCAAGGTTCTACTCTATATGACATTTGCAATCAAAATATACAACTTTTATCCGTCTGTTAATTGAAGTTTTTAAAATTTACTTCTTAATGTTTTTTTTTTAATTTGACGGAGTATAATTGATAATTGTTTAATTTGAAATCTAAAATACTGATGAAACATTTAATTACAAATTACAAATGACTGTTATGAATATAATGTCCTGCTAAATAAATGTATAGGTGATATAAGCAACCTGAACGTTGAAGCGGCAGCGCTCTGACCTAGCAAAAACCACACAATGCTACAAGGTCATACCGACCAGTTGATATCAGATAAACATCGGTTTAGCTACGATTATTATTTGCAACTTCCGTCGAAATATTTTTTTTATTATAAATCATTTAATGTTTATGTTGATGCATTTCTTTTAAGAAAAGTAGACTGGGCTTCCTTAATTAATTTTGATATAATAATTTAAAATACATAAAGGATATTATTTTTTATTCAAAGTCCATCGTAAGTGTCTCTCTTCATCATCAACTTATCGCTACGGAGGGTCGGTAGGTGCTGCCCTTCCATACATTTCTATCAGCCGTCATATCTGAATTCACTCCCATCTTAAGCATATCCCCTTTCACACAGCCCACCCATACTTTCTTTGGTCTTCCTCAACCTGTATAGCCAAACATTCAATCTTCACACTTTCTTGTTTATGTTCCCTTCCTCTCGTCGTAGAACAAGTCCGCACCTTAAATGTCTCTCTTCTTTTTATTTAATTAGATAATATGTATAGTGTAGGTTGTATGTTAAAACTCTTCGTATCAACATTGTATGCGGTGAGTTTCACCGTATGAAGGTCAGTTGTAGCTCCATGAGACACTCGTCACATCCATTGTGCATTGTGGAGGCGTGATGACAATGTCGCTTTCATTGCCAGCCCGATGTTCACGTGAAAGTTAAGATGTTGTACAATCGTATCATAAATATACTTCTATTGTATTAGCATCCTTTTAACTAGAACTTTATCAATAAAGATGACATCCTCTGGAAGAATATGGTTTTTAAATATATTTTCAACGATACATTTTCATACATTTATGTTTGTATACTTGGTGCTATTAAAAATTAAAGTTTGGATTGGTACTGCACAGTTCACTTTACAGTTAAAGGTTCAAATAGCTTCACCACTACAACAAAATACAACCAAATCCTAAACCATATAATTGCGAACTACCAAGGATATTTGAGTATAATGTGTTACGAAATGTCATTATTGGTCATGGTGGTCTTTTTTAATTTCAGGTGGGTAGTTTGTTGTCAATGTAAAATACATGCATGAGACACACTGGGTCTAGATTAAATACATTGTTATACTTTATTTTAACATTTTTATTTGTTCAATGACGTTACATAATTAGAATAAGTTAATTAGGGAGTTTATCAATTTCTCCAGATGTGGGTATAAAGAGAAAAATTTGCGGCTCATTGTAAAATTAAAATCAGATACTGTACCTCCCCACAGCGGCGTAAAATCTCCTTATCTTTGAAAGCCAGGTGCAAAACCTGAATAAGCTCGGCCGTAGGTTATATCACGATCAACCTTGTCTGTTTGATTTCTGTTTCGCTCTGAATGTACGCAAAATGCTTATTTTATGGTCTGCTAGTTGTTTATGTAGGAAAGTGTTGTAAAAATGGTATAAATGTGAATACTATGAAGGGTTCTAGTTCCGGACATGCGTATTGGAGAGGGACGGAGATAGCCGGCGAGTCGGAACAAACGTCAGTTGGTCGAGACACGGTCGTCGCGGCGCGCGTCCCGTTCGTCTGTACGCGTGTTGCGTCCTACGTACACTTATCAAATTTCAATAAGAAAATTTGATATTGTCGTCGAATATTGTGAAGTGTTGTTGACAAGTTCGCGAGTTGACCGGTAAATGGTTCAAGTTCCTTTGCGTTTTGTTTTTTTTTTTTAAGTTTTGTTAATTGCTCGTTTTTTTCTGTTCGGCCTGTTGTGTATTGTTTCGCTGAGTGATAACTCTGTTTCTTTAAGCAGTACGTATTAATATTTGTTTTCCTAATTGCTTGGAATTTATTATTTTGTATTAAATATTTTTGTATTTTTTATTTCTCCATATAGATTAAAAATGATATCATCAACACAGTTGCTTTATCAATATCGATAACTCTTATCTGGTAGTTAAGCGTTTTTGTATACGCTAAAGCGTTTGCGTATTTTGAAACCCGCAGTACTTTAGAGTTAGTGTTTACCATCGTTCTTTTACAAAGCGTAAATTAAAATGCTGTTGCCATATCATTCGTATTTTATTAGTTGAGTGAACCCTAAATGCTATTCTTATATTGCACAAGATGCACAATATCATTAAAAAGTATTAGTACATCATCACTTTGCACTAATTTGTCTTTTTCTCGTTGTTAAACTTACCTTTAACGGAGCTGTAAGCTCTGATCGACATGAAGATCACTTTATTGTAGAATAATATTGTATGAAATACGAGAGACAAAGGCGGGATTTGAATAAAAGGGGACCCTTGAAATTGATCGTCTCTACTCCCCAGCCTCTGGTTAACCGAGCCCTTGTGTAGCTTAATTTAATACACGACAAATTTAAATTTGTGTAATTTTTGTACCTTCTTTACATACACGATAAGTTATGTTACCTTCGTCTACAAAATGGTTACATTATAATTTAGGAGGCGTAACAAAATCAAGTAATTACTTAACTATTTTGGACCGGATCCGATTTTAGGAATCACAAATTGTAAAGTCTGGGCTATTTTAAGTTAGTTAGTCTTTATCTAATTTGTAAATTACAGATCTTTGCCAAATATGTAATGTTACATCAATGTATAGCTTCCTTTATGTTTACTAATGTTGTCGATTTTTTTATTCTTTTTATTCATTATCTGTTTCGACAGACTCTGCAATCGTTAGTTTAAAATCTTTTAATTATTTGTTGACGTGTTCTTGCGTGTCTTCGAAAAATGTTGGTTAATTTAAAAATAACGTCTTTAAAATTCAGTAGAGCGAGTCGAGACGTGTCCGATGTCGGGACAACTCCGTCCAGTCGCAACTTAAGCTTCGTAACATCTTATAAACGCTCTCAACTTCCTTTAATTCTTAAAGAAACTCGTTCAACGACATTTTAAAAAACGACGCGTTGAAAGTGTAATTAAATCTTTTATTGTTATTGATTTATGAGAAACCAACTGACTGGTATCGTTTATTACATTAGTATCTAGGTTTTTAATACGCTTTCAAATATTTTAATTAATGTTTGTAATTTATATAAATTTTAGATAACATTAAACCAAAAGTTTCGTGTTAGATTAATTTGCCAAACTTCTGTTGTTCTGTTATATTTCTATTCCATTTTAAGTCTCTAATAATAAGTAAGCGCACGCGCACCCTACTCTTGTTATAAAATACAATGTAGATCGTAAAATCGATATTTTGACCCTAATATGGTACAAGCCCCTGTTTTTTGATGCATTTCGCAAGCGGGGTCGTCGGTCGTTGACATTGTTCCCCCGACATGTTTAGAATCCGTGTTGATTGTCGCTGCATCTCGGATTAGCAATATTCGATTATTGTCAGATTACGGACATTAATATTGATTTAATCTCTCTAATGTCCAGTTGTATGCGTTTTGGACATAAAAATGATAGTACCAAGTTACAATAATACTCAACCAAATTTAAATAAAAACAGAAGGGACGTTAATAATCATGACAGAAATCCAAGTATTTTGTATAGACTTTGATTTTTCTAAAAAAAAATTAAGACGAAACAAGTAAATGTTACATAATAAAAAGCTACATTTTGTAATTTTTAATCTAATTATAGCCTTGGGTATTACAGAAGTAAAGCCCAAATATGCCTCACGTAATCCCATATCTCTTAATCAAACATTATCAGCGTGAGCAGACTGTAGCTTATCGCCTTAACCCTAATTGCGTTCTGATTAAACATTATTGGGACAGAACATTGAGATAAAAATAATTGGTCATAAAATTTAAATATCAACTAATATTTGTTGACAGATATTAATTTAAAACCAAGCTATAAAAAAAAAAAACTTACAGACGAATTGAGTACCTCCTTATTTTGGGAAGGCGGTCAAAAAGGTATAGTCTAATCGATACTTGAAATGTTTTGAATAATTATTAGACAACCATAAACCTGTGATTTTATATACTTTTGTATTGTTAATTGTTTGCTTTACTTTTCCTAAATCGTACAATGTATTTTTTAATCATGTCTATTTTTTTGGTTAAATTCATAACTTACGTAATGTTATATAACACTGAACTTATATAGGTATTTAAAAAAATAGCCAATAAACCTACATGTAATACTCATAGTAGTAAACTAAATAAGTAACTCCATCTAAGTTACATTGTAACTATTACTAGATAAGGTCTCCGATTAAGTAGAGTTATTATTAGAAGTGGTCTATTGGTTACTTAATGCGTTTCGTTTGTTCCTATTTCAGTTAATGTCTTTGTTTTGTCGAGAAACATTGAATAGATCTTAGTTATTACTTTCGTCGTACTTCATCTCAACTGCCTTGTTTATCTGTACTAATATTATAAAGAGGATAACATTGTTTGTTTGATTGTAATGAATTGCTTTAAAATGTACTGGGCCGATTTTAAAAATTCTTGCACCGTTATAAAGGTATCTTTGAGTAACATAGACTATATTTTACAATGTCTCTTTTTATTCTACGCGGACGCAGCCGCAGGCAAAAGCGAGTATTTCAATATACATAATTACACAGAAAGAAGGGATCAAGGATTTTATAAATTGGGATTATGACATTGTGAGTTCAGTTGTCTTTTCTATTTTTTATATAAGTATAAAATCGTTGTAACTGTTGCAACTTGAACTAACAAGGTCATACACACGAACCGTGGGAATGTAATAAAGGGCATATTACCGAAGGTATATTAAGATGGTCCAAAACAATGCGGGTAGAGCGGTGATGTACCGTTAGCCACTCGACTAGCCGCGAGGGCAACAATCTTCGATGAGTTGCCGCGGATTGCGCAAACGGCACCGTTTTCGCGCGTGCCGGCTAATTTGTTACATGATTCGTGTCTGCAGCTATTATAAGTTATATTGGATCAGGGGCATTGAATACGAGGCTGGTGGAATTCTTAAATTCTACTGTACTTTAGTTGCAACTTTATTCGAAAGTGTCTGAATGCGCCTTATCTAAGTTAAATTAATTCCACGATTAATTCGGTTGATTAGTAATTATTATCTATTATAACACGTGTTTTGTTTAATCCACCTGTGAAATTTAAGGGTGTGTTATATTGAAGGCCGTAACGAACTTAACGAAACGAGCCAAGTATTTTTTCTTAAGATAATTTTATTGACGTTGATTATACGTTGGCCTCAAATAATAACAGGTTTATTTACTCGCGATTAAAGTCATATGCCATTTAACAAGATGTAGAGATACTGAACTGTATAACATACGCGTTTTAATAGGTTCGAAGAATTATGAATTATCTATAACATGATCTAAGAAATATTAGACAAAAGTAAGGCTACGTGTGCTTCTATCTAATAATATCGAAGTAACGGCTCGTGTCGAGGTAACGGCTCGTGCCGAGGCTCCTGAGGGAACTCTCGATTTTAGTTACTCATAAACGAGGTTTAGGCTAAGCGCCATCTGCGCTCCGCCACCTCAAGCCCGGTTAATCTGTAAATGCCTCTTCAAGGCAAACAGTGGCCATACAGTCACAAAAAAGAAGTGTGCTTCTAAGTCATACGTTTTAATTTTTTTATTTAGTGCTCATTCGATAATCATTATCATTGTTATGAAAGATACATTGTTATTATTACAAGATACATACATTGTTTTATTCGACATCTGTATACCATAAAGGGATAGTTTTTTTTAAATTGCATTTCTTGCCTACGAACTAGACCTTAATTTTCAGCATTTATCTATTGTTACAAAATTCATTGCTTACTTAAATATACTAATCGATTTTAAATGTAATTATTTTACCTTCTAATGCAAATAGGCGTAAGTAAACGTTGTTTTGCCTGCGGGGCGTTGCACTGTGCGATGGAATGCGTCCGATTGTGGTTACGAAATGCCATGACTCTGCAATACAATGTGCGATGTCGCTGTCGCGGCAATCACAATGTTTGTGGCTTTATTTACCTTCTAGACTAGTCTGTCAGTGCACTTTGGATGTTGGATAACACGTTTACATTGTACTAAATCAAGAGTTCCACCAATGTAACATAGGCAACTTTTATTGTTTAATTTTATATTGAATTTAGATACTCCGTGTGTACATATAACAACCTTACTATAATTACGCTCAATGACGTGTAATTATTCTATTTAGAGATAATAGTGAAGGTAATTATGATCGGTAGAGCCTTCCGACGCTTTAGTAACACTTAAAAGAGGTTTACACTAAGCGGATATCAACATTTTCCAGTTGCCCCTGACCATTCAGGTAGAATTAAGCTATTTTATAACACAAAGGTTGTTTCTAAAACACAGAAGCCTTATATGTTTTTATTAAATTAATGATAAACGGTTACCACATAAGTCGATTAAAGAGTTGATATGTTTGATATGTTACTGTATGGATATAGAGTAACTACTTTCAGAGTGTGCAAAAAAATTTATATTTGTAAGCGCATGAGTGTTATTACCGCGATTGAAATATGCGGATGTATCAAATTATAATAAGTAAATATTGTAAACCAATGCGGTTTTTATCGATGTTTTTCTATATCGCGGATCTAATAACAGATTTGCAATTTAATTTGCAAATAGATTAATTATATAGATTTTATTTATGCATTTTACGAGTCAGTTAATATATCAAGCAATTTTTTTGATCAAGCAAATTTTAATGTCATTGAAATTCATTATTAAACCTAGATTTTATTGTTTATGTTTAAACTAGTGTTTGGTTTAAATGGTTGATTGGGCAATATTACAGTTTACAATAATATAAGACAAGTATGCGCGTTGTAGGATCACTTCGTCG